TTGACGGGACATGTAGCTCATGCGAGGAAGAAATTGAAACAATATGACATGTCCTGTTTGGTTGTAAGACTGCAAGAGACACATGGGAAATATCCGGATTCCCATTACCTCTGGCAGGTTTCTCCTCAAACTCAATGTTCTTAAACATATTTCATCTGCTTCTCACCAGCGGAAAACAAGAAACCCCACAAGAGATCAGACTAGCGTTTCCATGGATTCTATGGCAACTTTGGAAAGCTCGCAACACACTCACCTTCGAAAATGTCAGATTGTCACCTGCGGAGATAGTGTCCAAAGCCCTAGATGAATCTGATGGATGACTGCGTATCAATGGTATATCTAAATCAGTTCCTAGCCTGCAAATATCTGATTATGTATGCAGATGACAAAAGCCTCCACAAAATTGGCTGAAATGCAATATTGGAGCCTCGTGGATCATGCCAATAAGAAATTGTGGGGTAGCGTGGATATTGAGAGATCACATAGGAAGATCTGTACTGCATAGTAGAAGGGCTTACTCGACCATCACTACGCCATGTGAGGCATATATATTGAGTTTACTTTGGGCGGTTGAATCACTGGCCTCTACGAACCAGAAGAACATCATCATCGAATCATCGTCGGCTCAGCTGAGGGAGGTTCTTCTTTCACCCCAGCGTTTTCCCCAATTTCAAGATCTATGCTCTCAAATATTCATGCATCTACAGGCCTTAGAATTTTGGAGTTTGAACTACGTAGCTAAGGAAAGGAATCAGGTTGCAGAGGAGATCGCAAGAAGTGTAACGAGAGATCATAGGTATCAATCGTATATTTCACAAGATGGCCCTTATTGGTTACTTCCTATCTTGACTGCAGAAGTAAGGGGCCATGATTGATTCGCTATTACTCTACCTTTCGAGTTTAAAGTGCAGATTATTTATCCCGGGCTTTTCAAGTTTAAGTTTATTATGAACTTCAGGCTTTTTGCCATGTAAGATACCTTCTGGTGTCAACTTTTGCAACCTCCGGGTATTTATCAATGAAACCATTCAGTGTCAAAAAAAAAAAAGCTGATGAGAAAGAGGCCAAAAAAGAGTTTTTACATCATCACTCCTTGGTTCGTCGCAAAAAAGGAGGCGAAATATTCAATCAATCATCAATGGTGTTGGTGTTGTCTCAACGCGGTTAAAGTGAAACCTATTACTTATGCAGCTTTTACGGAGACATCTACCACAAAAAAATGTATTGAGTCTCCTTCTGTGTTCCATTCTTTTGATCATCCAAAATATCCTCTTCAGCTTCTCTGGTTTTCCTCCTTTTACGTAGACCATGAAGGACAATGTCGCTCTTGTAGACGTTACAAAGGCAAGTTATTTTACTATTGTTCTATTTGCGATTTTATGATCCATCCTCCATGTGCGAATAACCCAAAACCACTTATTATAGAAAATAGAAAAAGGCATAAGTATACCCTTCATTACCTTCCCAGGCAATCCAATTTGGTTTGCGATGTTTGTGCGTTGGAGGGCGGTTCTGAATACTTATATATATATGTCTTCTGTGCGATTTCACTGTCCATAAACGTTGTGTCGACTTACCATATGTCATAAAGGTATCTCGTCACGATCATCGTCTCGCTTTTACTCTTAATCTTCCATACAAGGAGGGGACTAATTGTTGAGTTTGTCACACAAAGATATATGAAAATTACGGAGAATACTCATGCACAGCAAAAGGATGCGTTTATGCAATGCATTCTAGATGTGCGATGCAAAGTGATGTGTGTAACGGGAAAGAACTCGAAAGAACCTGAAGAAACATATGAAAATACTAAAATGTATGAAGAGAAAGGCGACGGGATCATACAACATCTGAGTCATCCGCATCATCTAATGAGACTTGAAGAAAAGTTTCACGACGATAACAAGAATTGTCAAGCATGCAGACGTCATTTCTATGATGATGGTGTTGTGTATCGATGTAAGCAATGTGATTTCATTTTACATGAATCATGTGCGTATATGCCTCGTGTGAAACAATATATGCTACATGTCCATCGGTTGGTTCTAAGTCTCGATTATACAACACGTTGGTTCACATGTGAGAGATGCTATCGTTACTCATGCGGTTTCGCATATGTGTGTCCTGGGGAAAGATGTTATTTGAAGTTGGACACATGGTGTGCTTCTATATGTGAGCCGTTCCATTATCACTCTCATCCACAACCATTGTTCATAAGTGGGCAAGAAACGCGGAAGAAGTGTTCCATTTGTCAAGAGGAGTCAACGCAACCTTTATATTGTGTCACATGCGACTTTGCTTCGTGTTTTCACTGTGCCACTCTTCCACCAAAGGCGAGGTACGTGCATGATGAGCATTTGTTAACTTTTTCTTACAACGAAAATGCAAATGATGAGCTTTATTGGTGTGAGATATGCGAGGAAGATATTAATTCAAAAACTGATTATATGCATGCAATAAGTGTGAAGTTACACTCCACGTCCACTGTTTACTGGGCAAAGATCCGTATGTGAAATCTGGACAAAGTTGGACATCCGATGAAGGTTTGATCTTTGCAAAAACGCTTAATGTTCTTCCCAACACTTTTTCAACTCGACCTATATACAAAGAATGTGGAAAATACTGTCTGTGTAAAATACTTAAAGAATTTTTATATAAAAATAGAATAGCGGAAAGACCACCTTATCGTAAGAATAAAAAGGTAAAGAAGTTATTATTTTGCTCTTTTCATTGCTATAAGGAATGGGACATATGATGTTTATCAGAATCATTGACAAATTGATACTTTCGATCCTTACTTCTTTACTTTTTGTAACTTGCTGACTTAAGATTGTATTTACAGCTGTTATTGATGTTATCTTATAACTTATATAACAATTAAATTATTATTTGTATATATTTATTTATTCATGAAAATATTAAATTATTTACAAAAGTTATTTTTTTAGTTGTTGCGATTACAAAAAAAAAAAAAAAACATTTGAGAAACAAGGGAGACTTGAGAGCCTTTTGTGGGATAAATTTGTATTGTGTTTGTTGTATATATATGGCGCTATATGTACAGATGATTTTTTAGATATATAACAAATATGATTTATTAACTGATTTAGATGTAATACAAAGAAAACGAAGCTATCTGTTCTAACTCTTTTTTATTTAAGAAAGTAATAATATATATATTCTCCAGTATAGCACTTCCAGTTGCCTTGGGAAAGTTTCAGGTTTGCAGTTTGCTTCACGCTCACGTCTTGGGGAGAGACTGACTTATAAATCTTATTAATTTGGTTTGCACCTTTTTTCTGGGAACTGACTTATAAATCTTATTAATTTGGTTTGCAGCTGTGAGAATTTTGATGTCACACGTGCAAAAAAGGCTCTTGGCGATTATGGAGTTAACAAACATAAACATCAGGAAGTGGGTGTGAGTAGTATAACTAGATTCTATTATACTGTTACGTTTTGATTCTGAGATTCCATCCTTAGTCAGCTATTCTGATATTGGTTTCTTCGAAACAGGTTCCCCAGGATGCAGGGATGAGGGAGGACATTATCAGGGACCTATTTCAGCCTCTTGTGAAACGGTGAAACCACCAAGTGTTGCTAGCTCTCTGAGTTCCAATCAAACGAAGAAAATTCACAAAATTAGCAAACTAAATACACTTCGTAGCAACTAACCTTTGAAGAATTTTCTGAATTTTTCTTCCTCTTTGCAGTTTTGATAGATGACATCGTAGACTTCCATAAGTGAGTTGGGGAATTTAGCTGCAAAATACGTGGATATTCCATCCAGACACGTTCCTAAAACATTCTGAGAAATCAAAAGGTTCAATAATTTTAGACATTAGTGTAAGTGTTTATGTGGATAAATTATTTTTTAGTGAGGACAAACCTTGGTATAGATATGAAATTCTTTGTAGTGGCTTTACGAATTTCTTATTAGTCGTAACAAATCCAGAAGGTTACCGTAACAGTAGGAGACGACGTTCACTAGTCTCCACTAGGAAGCAAAACTTCTCATCAAGACTCCAAAAGAATGAATGCATAAGCACTTCACATGCAGTGGATCTGCAAATTAAAAATTGCATATTAAATACTAAAACATTTGATAAGGTGTAAACTGGTGAATCCTATACGCACAATGTCAATTTGGCTTGACAATGTCAATGTTCCCAACTCACACCAACTACTTTTTTTTAATAACCCAATATATTGGTGAAGAAATCATCATTAATTGCAACAGTTTGCACACATTTTGAACATTAACTACATTCACATACAATTGTGAAAACGATTTTAACATTGTCAATTTAGATCGGCTTGAGGAGGTTAATGTTCGTAACAAAAAATCAGCTTGAAAAGGTTAATATTCACAATGAAAATCAGCTTGAGCATGGTAATGTTCACAACTATGTTGTCCAACCTCAGGTTTGTCCGCTTCATCGATTAGTGAGAAGTCAATGTTTCTCACGAAGAGTACTTTATCATGTTATGTTGCTAATTTTGAACCCCTTGTTATTTTGCAGAAGTTAGAGAACGTGGAAACAGAAGAGTATATATATATATGGAGAATTTGTTAAAGAAAAAAAATACATTAAGCAGAAACAATGAGCTATCTAAAGAATATATCCACCACTTTATTGTATTTCAAATTTTATTTGTTAACAATTTTTCAGTATGGGTTAAGTAAAAATATCACAACTTTTTTCGTGTTAAAAATGATTCTTATGTTTTAATGAAGTATTAAATTAACAAGTGGAAATTAACAAGATTCAAGTAAATGGTTCACTTTCTGGTTAGTACTATTATAGGAATTTTTTGGATTCTATGTTGTTCAGAGAGATTTAAACTTTCAGATTGCAGCAGGACTAACAATGACGCCTAAATTTTGTTTGTCTTTCTTGTTTTCTGCAGAAAAGATAAGGAAAAGGATTGAATCATTTAAAGAAAATATTCCAAAACATGCACTAAAAGTCATAGAAGAAGAGCTTACAAATCTGAAGATGTTAGAAAACAGTTCATGCTATTTGGATATAAGTTATGAGTGTTATGAGTACCTTGATTGGTTGACCGTGTTGCCTTGGGGAAATTTCAGGTTTGCCTTTTGGTTATATATATATATATATATATATGTGTGTGTGTGTTGTCCACTGATTGAGAAGTCTGATATATTAATTTGGTTTTGCAGTGATGACAATTTTGATGTGCTAAGGGCAGAAAAGATTCTTAAGGCGGATCATTACGGACTATCTGATGTAAAAGAAAGAATTCTAGAGTTTCTTGCCGTGGCAGGACTTAGAGGCACTTCACAAGGTCGCATATATATCTTTTGCCTTTATGGTTCACACATTTCATTGCTAAAAAGATTTAATTACAAGTGTGTTGTGAAACTGAAATTTTGTAAAAATGTTATTCAAAACAGGGAAGATCATATGTCTCCCAAGGCCTCCTGGAGTAGGTAAAACGAGCATTGGGCGTTCTATTGCGCGTGGTCTTGGCCGCAAGTTCTTCCGGTTATCTGTTGGAGGACTACATGATGTTGACGTGATCAAGGTGTAATATATACATAACTATAATTCATATATTGAGAAAGTTATAACTCAAACAATTTGAGAAACAAGGGAGACTTGAGAGCCTTTTGTGGGATAAATTTGTATTGTGTTTGGTGTATATATATGACGCTATATGTACAGATGATTTTCAGATATATAACAAATAAGATTCATTAACTGCTTTAGATGTAATACAAAGAAAACGAAGCTATCTGTTCTTACTCTTTTTTATTCAAGAAAGTAATAATATATATATTCTCCAGTATAGCATTTGCAGTTGCTTTTACAATGTCCTTTAGCTGAAGGAGATTTAACAAGAGAACTGAAGAAGTCAACATATTTGTTAGAAACAAAATTTTGTAAACGAAATATTAAAAGGCTTTTACATTTGAACACCTCCCCCCCCCCCCCCCCCCCCTCACTTAAGGCAAGATATAATAATACATAAATATAAAATTGATAAAATCTAATTTGTTGTTGTCTCTGGATTCTTCCAGGATAGATAAGAAGTATAGCATTTGTCCAAATTAAGAAGTTATTGTAGTTATAGATAGTGAATTTTGTTAGTGGAAGATTGGAATATATAACTGAAAAAAATTCAAATTTTTTCTAACTTTGCAAACGACTATCTGTAACTCGTGGAGCAAGATGGTAAGTCTTTTGTGGATAAATAATTGTAGATACTAAAATATAAACTTAAACAACTTTTGGACCAGAAAATGGATACTTGGAATGCTCGGAGGAGATTGAGTATGTATTGGAAGTGTCATTTTGCATCATTGTGTATCATTTTGCTCTTCTCCAATACATTTTTTTATCGGTAAACCTATCCCTGATGGAACATCAAACACATTCGATGAGTCCCTAAAAGAAAGCTCAAATATACTATATAAATGTTTGTAAGTCTCACCTCCACATTCTGGCCTTCAAGAATATTCCACTTCTACACCATCAGAGAGTTCATTATCTTTGTTACTCTCACAGCTTATTTGTATTTATTTTTTTCTGGTCAAAGTTATAATGTAAAGTGAGATACCGTTATAAGAATGCCCAATAATTTCATCGTTTGGTGTTGGTTCTTGTTCTTAACTAACGTTCGTTTCAGAATAGTCAAATTTGAAGGGTCGGCGAAAAAACTACACTGTTGTCATTCTGTAGTATATAATAGAACATTTTTTTCTTGTCAACCAATATATATAATAGAACATAAAAAAAAAAATTAGTTAGGCATTAGTTAAGAAAAGTTATGGCACTTTTGCTTAGTTTGTGTAATGCACCAATCACTTTCCAGCAATGTATTTTATTCATTTTTACTGATTATATAAAGGTCATAATTGAGGTTTTTATGGATAGCTTTCTATCTATGGATCCATTTTCTTTGTTTGTCTTTCTAATCTTTGCAGGGTGCTCTACCACTGTGAGGAGAAGCATCTAGTACTGAACTGGGAGAAATACTATTTCATTATGAGAGATGGGATTGTTTTGGGGCACAAGATCTCCGAAAAAGGCATTGAAGTAGACAAGGCGAAAACTGAGGTGATGATGAGCCTGCAGCCACCAGATTCTTGGGCATGTTGGGTTCTACAGAAAGTATATCAAAGATTTCTCTAAGACAGCTCGACATTTGACTCAACTGCTATGCAAAGATGTGAAGTTCCACTTTGACAATGACTGTCTTGAAGCCTTCCACACAATCAGAGGAGCACTTCTCAGTGAACCAATCGTCCAACCACCTGACTGGAAGGGCTTCCATTGGAAGTGATGATTGATGATAGTGATTATACAGTAGGATATGTCTTGGGACAGAGAGACGAGAAGAAGCTCCACATTATATACTATGCAAGTAGGACCCTTGATGATGCACAATGCAAGTATGCCATAACAAAGAAAGTACTGTTTGCCATTGTGTTCACTTTTGACAAGTTTCGTAACTACCTTATGAGTTCTAAAGTGATTGTGCATACTGATCATGCTGCTTTGAGATACTTGCTAACAAAGAAGGTTGCTGCACTGGATACTCTTGCTGCAAGAGTTTGATCTCGAAATTAAAGACAAGAAGGGGATTAAGTATGGTATTGCAGATCATCTGTCTAGACTGCGCATTGAAGAAGATGTTCCTCTAGATGACAACCTTTTCAGAGGAGAACGTGTCTGCTATCAGCATAGGGGACGTATATGATCAAACAACCGCACCTCAAGGCATCAAACTTCCTACAATGCCTTGGTTTGGAGATATTGCGAACTACTTGGCTGCAGAGAAGGAACATGCTGGTTTTGTTGGGTACAAGAAGTAGACGTTCTTGAGAGATATAAGACACTACTTTTGGGATGAGTCTTACTTGTACAAAAAATGTGTTGATGGCGTTTTTAGAAGATGCATACCAGAGGAGAAAGTTTAAGGCATTATGTTCCACTGCCATGGTTTCGAGTTATGCCACTACAAAAAAAAGTTAATATTGTTACAAAAAATTATAACTAATTATTTTATCACAATATTATAACAATTTATATACAAATTTGTGACAATATTAATTTGTTATAAGACGTTATTAATTCGTCATAATATTATGACTAAATCAAAGATAACAAATTATTGTTACTAATTGTATCGTAATCATTATAAAATATATAGTAACGAATATTGTTACGGATTTTTTACGACCAAATTTAGTAACTAAACTATATAATTTTTGTGACTAAACTTGAGTCACTCACACTTACAAAAGTTTTGTAAGCATGTTATCACAAGTAGATATTTTTTTACTAACCTATGCATTTGGTCATAAATTATGACATAATTATTACTATTTTATGACAAAGATTAAAACCACATGTAAATCAAAATTCAAACTCTTAACTAAAATTCAAATCCTTAACCCTAAATGTAAAACATATATGTACACCAAAATTCAAATCCTTAACCAAATTTAAACTCTAGACTCTAAATGTAAAACACATATATACACCAAAATTTAAACCCTTAACCAAAATTTAAACCCTTAACCTAATTCAAACCCTTAACCAAAATATAAAACACATATATACACCAAAATTCAAACTTTTTAACCCTGAATGTAAAAGACATATGTATACCAAAATTCAAACCCTTAACCAAAATTCAAACTCTTAACCAAATTCAAACTCTAGACCCTACATGTAAAACACATATATACACCAAAATTCAAACCCTTAACCAAAAATCAAACCCTATACCCTAAATGTAAAACACATATGTACACCAAAATTCAAATCCTTAACCAAAATTCAAATTCTTAACCAAATTTAAACCACATACCTTAAATATAAAACACATATTTATAGCAAAATTCAAACCCTTAACCAAAAACTTCAAACCCTAAATTCTAAAATCAAACCCTAAATCCAAAATACAAATCATGTATCATAAACTCAAACTATAATCTATAAACCACTTCAAACTCTTATACCCTACAACACTTATAAAATCATACATTTTTGTTTTTGCCAATATTTTGCATATCTTTGTCCAAATTTTCTATACAATCAACATATTCTTCAACATTTATAACAAACTTCAAAATTCTAAAAATAAATTATATTTTAAAATTTAAATTATAAACCCTAAACATAATTAATCAATATAGATCTCCAAAATTTAAATCCACATTTATAATAAACCTAATATTTTTTTAAATATCAAATCCAAAATTTCAAATTGTAAATCTTAAACGCTAAATAATGAACTCAACACTTCAACTTTACATTTAAACATAAAAACTAAATCTAAAATTATAAAACCAAATATTACAATTTACTAATAAAATTAATTATAAATGAGATATATTATCAAATGACTTATTTGCTTATAATATTTAAGATCATATATATATATATATGTTTTAGAAACATAATATTATACTTTTAAAATACAAATAAGAAAGATAAATTCTCATTGGTTAATTGATAGTTGTGAGGATTAGACCATACTTTTAATCTCAACCCTTGATAAAACTAAATCTAACTCACACAAATCATTCTTTTTTTTTCTCTTTCTTCCTTATTTTCTTTGACGGAAAATTAATTATGGTCATCTCCTTCTGCGCTCCATCTCATATCACATCTTCTCCTTCCTTTGATTCTGCTTCTCCTTGTCCTCTCCTTCCTCTTCCTCTTCCTCTTCCTACTCTCTTCTGCAGTTCGCGCCTGATGCATCTCCTTAAAACAGCCATCGATCCATCTTTCTGGGTTTCCTCTAACCGCCGTCGATCCACTGTAAGTATTTTCTTCTCCTTCTTCTCCCCTTCATCTCCATCCTTCTCTTCTTCTCCACCTTATTTTCTTCGGATCTAACTTTTTTTTTCTGATCTTGTAATGTGGATGGAGGACGGATGCGAGGCGTGGAGCAGCGGTGGAGGACTCGTCTTGTTCATGACCAGATCTGTACCTATTTTGAGGACGGCAGCGTCGATCTAGGAGGAATTCAAGCCGGAGAGTAGCCGTCAAAGCTTCCTTTGCCAGGATCCGTCGTCTCCGAAGTCCGCCGCCGATGAAGCTGTACGAAGCATCCGTTGTCTCCGAAGTTCAAGCCAGAGAGTTATCGGGTAGGAGCTTGTGTGTGGTGGGAAGTCGGCTCTGAAGGATGATAGATTAGGTTAATTTCTTTTGGTATTATTCCCGGTTAAACCTGTTGGTTTGATCTGATTTCAATTTTGTAAATTTTATTTCTTTTCTGGTTTGGATCTTTAATATAATAATATTTAAAAAATGTCAATTGCTTTTATTGATTTAATTGTGTATTGTTTGTTTTTTTAACAAAATATTTATTTTATATAATAAAATAGTTTCATCTATTTATTTTGTTTTTGTTTTCAAAATCACGATATAATCATTACAAATGCCATGCCTAATAATTAGCAAATTTTGTGATATTATTGTTTATTATAATTTATAACGGATTAGTGACGTAAATATAGTAAGAATTTGTTACAAATATGTGACAATTTTTTTGTCATAACTTGTGATCTAATTGTGATAGTTTTTTTGTCATAAACTGTAACGTTTTTGTGACTGTTTTAATATCGTTACCAATGGTGACAAATCGTTACTATTGTCGATCGTCACACCATGTTATAACGTTTTTCTGACTAAAATGGACTTGTGACGTTTTTATTGTAATCTTTAATAATTTGTAACATTATCGTTACAATATAATTTTTATGACGGAAAAATTATATATTGTGACAAAAAAAATTGTAACAATATTTACTTTTTTTTGTAGTGTGCTCAACACTTTGCTATATTTAAGACTGTTTACAAGGCTTTGCAAGCTGGTTTCTGGTGGCCAACTATGTTCAGTGATGCACATACCTTTGTTTCTAAGTGTGATTCATGCCAAAGACAAGGTAACATTAGCAAGAGCAATGAGATGCCACAAAACTTCATCTTAAAAATTAAAGTGTTTGACGTACGAGGCATTGATTTTATGGGACCATTCCTATCTTCATTTGGGAACAAATTCATTCTAGTTGCAGTAGACTATGTATCTAAGTGAGTAGAGGCAATGGCTTGTCCTACTAATGACGCTAAGGTGGTCTTGACATCAGTGATGGTGGATCTCACTTCAACAATAAGGTCTTTGAGAGTTTGTTGAAGAAGCATTGAGTTAAGCAAAAGGTGGCCACGCCATACCATCCTCAAACAAATAGTCAGGTCAAAATTTCCAACATGGAGATTAAGAGCATTCTGCAGAAGACCGTGAACACAAGTAGGAATGATTGGTCTGTCAAATTGGATGATGCTCTTTGGGCATATAAGACTGCTTATAATACACCTTTAGGCACGACCCCTTTTTCATCTAGTATACAGGAAATCATGTCATCTTCCAGTAGATCTTGAGTACAAGGCAGCATGGGCCATTAAGCTGTTCAACTTCGACATCAAGCCTGCTTCTCAAAGAATGTTGATGCAACTGGATGAGCTAGATGAAATCCATCACATGAATTATGAGAATTCAAGGATCTACAAAAAAATAACCAAGGCTTACCACGACAAGAGGATCATTCTGAGGAGTTTTGCTGCAAATGACCAGGTTATACTATTCAGCTCCCGCTTTAAGCTGTTTCCTGGAAAGCTGAGATCAAGATGGTCTGGTCCCTTCACCATCAAAGAAGTGAGAACATATGGAGCTGTTGTGTTGCTGGACACTGAAAGAGGTGAATTTGTGGTCAATGGTCAGCACCTAAAGCCATATCTTGTTGATACTGAAATCAATGAAGGGGATACCATTCCTCTTAGTGATGCACATTCAGCCTAAAAGGTAACTAAAATCAAGCTTGTGACTTAAAACAAGCGCTTAGTGGGATGCAACACACTGGTAAGTTTTCTTTTATTTTATTTTTCTTTTCTTTGAGTCTATTTTACCTTTCTCTTGATTTATTTTCACACCGAGACAGTGTGAAGTATGTCTGGGGAGGGAATTCTTTGTTTACTAGCACCATCTTCTTTCTTTCGGTTTATATTAAGTCATTTTTATGTTTTTTTTAGTCAATCCAAGTTATTTTATTTGAGTTAGAACCTTGTTGAGAATTATGAATTTTTCTTGGAACTAACCACATTGCGTTAATGTTTGAATGATCATTACTACAACAGTTGATTGCAGAGTTTACTAGGTAGAACACTATGAGTAGATCAATCTAAAGGAGAAATTTCATTTCTCTGGAGAGTCTGAAGGATCCAAAGTTGACTCTGCACCTAATGAACTTTGATTTTCTCATCTTGGGGCTTGGTATACATCAAACCTGATTTTTCTTCCAGCACTGTCAAGATAAGTTAGGTGCAACCTCTCTTTGATCTTCCCTTATAAAAAAAAGAGTAATATGCTAAGATTAAGAACAGCAGCCTGAGTTCCATAGAAAGGACTAGGAGGGTAAGCATACACTCATAAACGCGTCTCCTCACAAGGAACACAAAAGTGAGTGGCACCATTCAGAAGCAATAAAAAGAAAGAAAAGTCGATAAAAATTAATAGAAATAACACCCTAGAAAAAAAGAGAGAAATCGACTGAGGAAAGAGAAAATAAGGAGTTGTACCAAAATTATATGTGTTCGGGAGCTTGTAAAGGAAAGAATCTATAAGTTTTTTTATTAATACTCCTTCGATGAGACCGCACGCCTAAATGAAATAAAAGGGTCAACAATAGAGAATTCAGATTTCTCTAAGGGATATTGAACTGTATTTGGGACGGTTGCTAAGCTTGTGGTAAGTATACTGACATACTATGTGATATGTGGGGTTCAAGAGTGTTGATCAATGTGGCGTTCCAGAGAGTTCATAATTTCCTATGTTTTCAAACCTCGCCTTTGTACTTAGTATTTACTTGAGGACAAGCAAAATGCTAAGTCTGAGAGAGGTTATATACTGCATTTTTGAGGCTTTCTAACCCAATTTTTTCAATAATTTTTCGAGTCAACGTGTGTTTTTAGAGTCTTAAAGTTTTTCATCAAGTCTTTTCAGGTTTTAGGTTGCTTTGAGATAAAAGAAAATCATTTTGGGTGCAAACAAACATATATTGATGCAAAACTATGTAGAGACGCCTGACATTTGGAAATCGTTGAGGTGTTTCCCACCAATGAATCAAGCTGAATTTTAAACAAGAACTTTATTGTTGAGTTAGCTTTCATTTGGAAGTGGCTTGAAGTCGATCCAACGGTGCGATCTAAAGTTATGGCAATTTTTATAAAGTCATGTTAGTCTAGCAGAATATTCTTTCCTAGAGCACCAAAGCAGGGAATGTCAGAACTGCAGAACGACCAATCGGGTGCCAGCGAGAATTTCACAGTTTTCAGCAATTTTCTTTATTTTGACCTAAAACGACCTAGGACCTAGGACCTATATACACGTATTTTTTGCCATTGTTGAGACTACCTCTTCTTTTACATCCAAACTTTTTGGCTTTTGCGATTTGTAAATTTTAGGGAGATAGTCTTTCTATTTTACATCTCTAAAGAAATTTCTGAACCCCATTTGATTATTATTCTATCTATTATAAATTTTTTTTCATCTCTTTGCTTGTTCTCTGTTCCCATGTCTGAGTAAACTCACAGTTAAATTTAGGGTTTCAAAAATATTCATGAATCATTGAATTAGACATAGATAAGGAATTAACTTGTGCTTTCTTCATCTATTGTTGATATGAAAGCTAAAACTTGATTAGTTACCTAGTTTTTGATCTTATGTTGTTTAACACACTAAAAGTGTTTGTTTCAAAACCTGAAAGAACATAGATGAACAAAACATCTTTAGCTAACGAAAGCTGATGTTAAAAAACACCATTCAAAGAAAGAGCTAGACGCTAAAAAAAACATATATCTTTTTGCAAAAACAACATATTTGACTGGAAAACAAACATGATCATTCAATTGATGTTGAAAAAAAAAACAAGGAATATCCACTTACCCTCATAAAATGGATTTTCCGACCTACTTGATTTGAACTAGTGACCGAAAGATTTTCTATTAGATAACTAAGGTCTGAATATGATAAAAGTTTCCACATTCATTGGTAAGTATTGGAAAAGTGAAAATTATTTATTCTTATGATTTGAACAAGTGATCTAAAGATTTACTGTTAGAAAACCTATTACACTCCTCCGTTCTACCAACCGAAATAAAATCGATCGGGTACAATATATGTTTTCATATTTGTTATTAAATATTTAAAATATGGTCACCTTTAAAAGTTACTTCTTTTATTTTCGAAGAAATTAGTGTAAATTTTTCAAAAAAAGTTTTTACTTCAGAATCACATTCATAAACAAGGTTGTGGATAATTATAACAAGGAAAATTTCATGATATATGTGGGAAATTTATCATTCAAGAGATTGAGAATTGAATCATTAAGATCATTTCTACATAGAAAGAGCAATGAATACGAGGTAAAATTTGAGAAGCATTAGAAAAACATGCATGAAAGAAACTCCGGCACCTCTCCGGTCATAAGTTATTATTTGGACAAATCCTGCATGAAAGAATAAAATATAAAATTACATCCGATTTCTTCGCATACATATATAGAACAATTATTCTTCTATGTTTCCAGTTAAACAACTTGAAGACAAGTTTCTGATGAAATGTTCAAAATCACATTCTTGGCAGCTGAAAACTACATTCCCCTCCACTGCAAGTTCTTCGAGACAAGCTTAAGTTAGTATTTATCTCTAACTTCTTAGGAATTACAGGAACCTCAGCTCAGAGTTTACCATAGTTCTTGGAGACAAGCTTAAATTACAAATGTTACATGTGCTTGCTCCTTCTAAATTATATACAACTTTCTGATAAAGAGGATTCTCATTTGTTCAAAGGATGACTTATGTCAACAAATGACCAAAATCTTTAATGCTCATCATATATTTTGATACCATCTTTGGGTATTACGAGTAGATTGTGTCGCAGTCTGGCCTATTTACATTTGTTCAATGTCTCGAATCAAGAGTTAATGCTATAAGATTGTCTGAGAGTTACATAAAGACTCGTATTAAGGTGAAACAAAGAACCTTAGCTATATTAAGGTGAGTGATCATTGACTTATTCATTAATATTTTAAGATATAAGTATCATGTAACCAAGAAACTATTACAGCTATAACTTCGAAGCAAACCAATTGTGAATATATCAAAGTAATGGGTACAGAATTCTCATATCATGTTCAATTAAGGCACAAGGTCTGAAGACTTCATGACTGGTTTAATGACCATTCACATATATGAGGGAATCATACGTTC